TTTTGTATGGGATGAGTTCCATATGAGTGTCGCACGGTTTAGTGTCATGGGTCGAGACGTTATGTCCGTGACTATGGTCATGCATCCATGTTGTTTTATTAGTATTTTGTGTGAGGTCATTGATCGGTTACGATTGAATTTGACTCTTCTGTTAGTTGATTTGTTGTTAAATCATATTTTAGGTTAGTGTGTTGAGGCCGTACGTTTATAGGGTTCAGGGGCGTGGCTGAGGGGGTACAAAGTGCGCGCCGCGCAGGGCCCTCAGCCACTAATAAGTTGTTGCATAAAAATAGGGCCCCAAAATCTCTTTGTATATGTTCAGGAATAGTTTTCAGCCTCATGTTTGATTCCACTACATTGCGTCATGGGGTCCATGCACATGCTAATACTTTTCAGGCAAGTGGGTATTATAATACTTTGGAGGAATTAAGTATGACGCATGTGGGTTTTAAAGTGAACTTGCGTGCTGTGTTGGAAGGCAAATTGCATGAGGTTCAGAGTGCGCCTGTTGATGGGTATTCGATCAAGACCTTTTGATGTTAGCATTGGGTGCTCGGTTTCAGATAAAGATGTTGATCTACGGCCGTTAGTTTTCCCTGATAAGAATTTGCAAGCAACCAAACAGATAACATAGCCATTAGAATAGGGCCTAGAAAAATAAGGGCCCGTTTATAAGAATTTGCACAGGGCCCCTTATAGCCTAGCCACGGCCCTGATAGGGTTTAAGTTGTATCTTTTGTCTTCGTTTTAAGATGTAATTGATGTTTGATTTTGTATTAATGCTTTATTGGAGCGCCAATTAGCAATTTTATTTATATTAATAAAATTATATTTATTGTGCGAAAAAAATACTAAACATGTAATTTTACCCTTAAAATTATTGCTTTTCCTTTTTTTGTAAGATACATGTAATCATTTAATTTCTTTAATGTTTCTCCCTTTTTTAATTCACTATTTTTTTTATTAAGAGAATATGATTATAAAATAATATTTTTTCTAAATATTTTAGAACATTTGATAATGAATACTCAATCATCTTGTTGCAGCTGTTGATGCTCGAACTTGTGACCTCTAAAAATAACAATAATTTTTTTAATCACTGAAATAAGTTAGTAACATTTACGTTATTAACACGCCCACATTATATGCATTAAAAATAACTCATTTAAATAATTATTTATTTATACACATAATACAATTTTATAATTATTTCAGATTAAATAAAAAATAATAGTTCATCCAAAAACTGGTTAGTGGGCAGAATTATCGCAAACTTTTAACTTTTAGTTAGAATTATAGAGATTAGCCAAAGGATGAGTTTCACCTTTAATTATATATATATATGGATGATTCTTCTACGCTCAATAAGTAGCGATGAGTATCGTTAACGACAAGCACTATTAATTTAATTTATAAAAATTTAAATTTTAAATGACTCAACGTATAATTATAAATTAATTAAAAATTAAAAGATAAATTATTTAAAATAAAAGGTAAATTATACCAGTGACTGTCTAATTATTGCCCCTTTTCATTTTGACCAATATTTTTAACATTTTGTCATCAGGTCACTGAACTATTTAAATGCATTCAATTAAGCCACTTGCCGTTAATATTTAACGGAGAAGCTGATGTGGCAGTTAAAATATTTGGCATAATTACACATTTGGTCATTGTTACTTATATATTATATCAATTTGGTCCTAATTTTGATAAATTAAAATAAACTTAACTCTCAAATCAAATGGTGTCATGTATAATGACCCAAAATTCAACTTTTTGTTTTAATTTATTTTAATTTTAAAAGTTACGACATATTCTATATTTATAACAAAACAAAATTTATAAGGAAACCTTTTTCTAAAAAATTGAATAACTCGAGCAATAATTTATGATATTAAATTAAAGCAAACTAAATTTATCGTCCTTTTGATATAGGTCAATCTCTTAGTGCAAAATTTTATGGAATGAGATGAATTTTTTAAATTTTAAAGAAAGACTGTATCAAACGTGAAAGAAATATGTCATCTTTTTCTATTAGAAATTTACTGGATAAAAATTTATTAGTTTTACAGGTTAGACTATATCACTTTTTCTAGTAGAATGTCATTTACAAATAGTAGTATGATAAAAATTTTGTCCATCAAAATTTATATGCATGGGCTAATCAACTATATTTTTCTTAAAACCAAAAGAGTTTATGGTACCATTGACAGGATGCTTCTGAGAACTATAAATGGAATTTCTAGTACAAATTTAGTTTTCTTATAAATATAGAATATGTCGTAACTTTTAAAATTAAATATTTGAGGGTTACGTTTATTTTAATTTATTAAAAGTAGGACCAAATTAATAGAATATATAAGTAAAAATGACCAAATGTATAATTATGCCAAATATTTTAACTGCCACATCAGTTTCTCCGTTAAATATTAACGGCAAGTGGCTTAATTGAATGCATTTAAATAGTTGAGTGACCTGATCGACAAAATTTCAAAAATATTGGTCAAAATGAAAAGGAAAAATAGTTAGGTGGTCGCTGATATAATACCATTTATTTTAAATATATTTGCTTTAGATTTTACCTAATTTATAATTATACGTTGAGTCCTTTAGAATTTAAATAAAATAATAGTGCTTGTCGTTAGTGGTGCTCATCGCTACTCGTCGAGCATTATAGAATTTTCTCATATATATAATGAGAAGATATTTATTGGAAAAGCAAAACAAAGAGTAAATTTCAGTCTTTGATTTATCTCAATTCATTTGTTCTAAAAATGTATAAAACTAAAAGAGTTTTATATAATATAAATGTATCCTAACTTTCTCTCTCTCTCTCTTTTGGATGATTTTTCCATGCTCGACGAGCACCGCTGAACACTATTAATGATGAGTTCTGTTGAGCACCATTAATTTAATTTATAAAAATGTAAAATTCTAAAGGATTTAACTTATAATTATAAATTAGTTAAAATTTAAAGGTAAAATTTTTAAAATGTTAATTACATTATTTTTCATAATCTTTTTTAACAATAAAAAATTATAATTTACCTTTAAAAATTATTTAAAAATTATTAAAAATTATGGGAAATGATGTAATTAATATTTTATTTTAAATAATTTACTTTCAATTTTTTAACTAATTTATAATTATACGTCGAATCCTTTAGAATTTTAAAATTTTATAAATTAAATTAATGATGCTCAACGATCTCATCGTTGGTGATGCTCAACGGTGCTCGTCCAGCGTGTAGAAGTTTCAGATATATATGGATTGCCTTCACTTATTCACCAATAAGTGAATGCCGACGGATGAGTAGTTAACCTACCACAAATTAAGAACAATATAACCTTTATTTTTCCAAGTTAATAATTTCTACTAATTTAATTTCTTTTGCTGTCACAATCCACACAATTGAATCACTTTAAATATTTGGATTCCAATTTTATATCACCCTTCTCATCCTTAAATTATAGTGATCATAAAATTTCACCAAAAGGGAACCTAGCAAAAGATAATGTTCTTAAACCATCAATTAGAATGGAGTAGAAAAGACAGTAATATGAAGAAATAACCCATGAACTTAATTGAATTCTGCTCAGAGTTATATTTTTTATAATAGAGAAGTTAGATGTTTTTATTTGGTAAAAATTAATTTAAAAAAGTATTTTTCAGTGTTTGTTTCATGAAAAATAATTTGATCGAGGAAAAATAACTTACAAGTTGGATATTTACTTTTCTTTTAAAATTGTTAAAACATTATTAATAAGAAATAAATAATTTATTACAAATAAAATATTAAAAAATATTAACAATAAAACTGACGGAATTTATTCAAATTCTCTTGAATTTGATTTCATAAACATGTTAAAACACATGGATTATCTTACTTATAAGTTATTCAAGAAATATTATATTTTTATTATAATTGGTACGTGTTGAAAAATTCTACCATTGTCTAAGAGTGAGTTTCTAACTCTAAACTAACTTTTTTAGCAACTTAAACAATTATTTTTAATTACTAAAAAGTTAACCTAAAATCATATTATAATTGGTACGCATCGTTGAAAAAAAAACAATGGAGTTGGTTTAAATAGTAAGCAGATTGAAATCGCTTAAGTAATGTTTTAAGTTCGAATCCTTGTGTATGTAAAAAATCACTACTAGTAGACTCACCAACCAAAACCCGGGCTCACTACTAAAAATAAGTTAATCTTCACCACCAAAAATTGAAATTACTTTTTGCCATAAAAATCAGAGTCGGCTCACTAGTTTAATACTCAACTAACTATTTAAGTTCGTATTAATATTTAATATGCCAACTAAAAAGCTAAAAAATCCCGTGACAATGTTAAAAAAAAAACTTAGATCACCCATAATAATAAATAAGGGTAAACTATGTATTTAATCATTCACATATTCTTGTGGCTCCATTTTGGTCACCTAATTATATTGTTTTTGAAATTTCATATAACGTTATGTTTTGGTTCTATTTTAATCATATGCCGTTAAAAAATAAGCATAATTATTGATGTGATATTTTTTTTAATAATGACATGATAATAACTTATGATATAATGTTAGCATCACCGTTAATTTTTTAACAAATGACTAAAACGGAATTGCAAAAATAAGCAGGTGACTAGATACGTAGTTTATGCTAATAATAAATCATTCACCCAAAGTTCATACAATTCTTAGCTTTCTAATTGGGACCAAAACTATTACTACATACGTAGTTGATAGTACGCAAATCACTAAGTATAACTGGTACGAGTGAAGAGGAGAAGAGAAGAGAATTGTCAACATGATATGATTTATTTATTCTTTGTGGTAGCGAAACCTAGTTTCTGATGAGACTGCGTAGGTGAAAATCTTTATTGCTCATAGTACTCCCTCTCTCCGGTTTCCATTCAATCCGCCGACACTAATAATTTCCATGGCCACTGCTTCTATATTTATGAGCATCTCCTCAACATTTTTTCTCTTAAGGAAAAAAATGGTAAATACAAAGAAATTCAGAGGTGTCCGGCAGCGTCAGTGGGGCTCTTGGGTGTCCGAGATTCGCCATCCTTTACTGTAAGCCAACACAATCGTATTTATATGTATATATATCTTGATTTTGATTGTGTTTGATTATATCTTGTACAGGAAGAGAAGAGTGTGGCTAGGCACGTTCGAGACGGCGGATGCGGCTGCGAGAGCGTATGACCAGGCGGCCGTTTTGATGAACGGACGGAATGCCAAGACCAATTTCCCCTCTGTTGAAGTGGATGAGTCTCAAATGCCGTCCAATACTCTTTCTGAGATTCTCAATGCTAAGCTTAGGAAGTGTTGCAAACACCAATCTCCATCACTCACTTGCCTTAGACTCGACACTGATAATGCTCATATTGGAGTGTGGCAAAAACGTGCAGGGGCTCGTCCGAGTTCCAGTTGGGTCATGAGGGTTGAGCTCGGGAATAGCAAGATGATTACACCGGGGCCGGCGTTATCGCCGGGATCGTCATCAATGCCTAATGTAGCTGATAATACTGAAGGGGAAAGTCATGTGATGGGAGAAGAAGATAGGATAGCATTGCAGATGATTGAAGAATTACTCAATTGGAATAATTGTCCTATGACTTCAAGTGGAGTTAGAGAAATCATTCCCATGGAATATCATGTACATCCTCGTTTTATCTTGCATGGTGCAATAAGCAGGATTTTGCCTGGTACTTGTGGATTTCGCTATCCGGAAACTAGTATTGTAAGCACCAATGCAAACTGTTTAACCTATTAATCCAACCTTTATTGTCAGTTATATGTTGGATTCTATAAGTATGCAAGTAGGGTTGGACTTAGGGGATTGTTGGGGAAAGTCGCTCTCCCGGCTTGAATTTTTAAAAATTTTCTATATATTTTTTATTATTTTCATCTTCTGAAATTTTATAAATTCGTTTCCCTCTAAAATTAAAATCTTACATCCATCTCTATCTGGAAAAAGATTGAGGTTCAGACCCTGGATTACCCATATGTTTGAGTTGTCTATCGCTTCAATTCAAACAAGTTACATGTCAACTTTCAAGTTCTCCTTGTTACGTACATAATATGTACTAGTCATATGTGCATTAAACAACCTGGTCCCGTCTATGAGTCCAACCCAACTTTCTTTTTTTTCCTCAATTATCATGAACACAGTGCAGGTGAATTGAAATTTGTATTTTTATAATCTTTTGAATTAATCAATGGTATCCGATCTATTGATCGGTTAATCCAGATCAGGTACTACATAGGCGAGAGTGACTCTCTCAACCCAGTTTGCTCCATTCGCAAACGTCAGGATTCGAACCTCTGACCTTGCTTAAGAGACCTAGTGCCTCATCTCATTATACCAACTAGTTATTGGTTATAATTGTCACTTCCTAATTTTTTTTTCTTAAGAATATGATATATCTTAGACCTAACTAGAATCTGTAAAAATTTTGTGATGGGTCAATTATCTAAATTCAAAATTATAGAGACTTGTTAATTTTTTCAATTTTAAAAAATCAAAAGAGAAAAGATCTAAATTAACTTAAGTTTAAACTAACGATATTTAAATATTAGTAAAAGTAAAAAATTTGAAATAAACAGCAGTCCTTCCCACCCTCAACGTACCTCAACCTCATTTCATTAAAACAAAATTAACGGACATAAATTTATCTAATAGTTACCAAATACGTTGCCTCAAATTCACACTCTGCAATAATAGGAAGAACTTTAAGCACATTTGTTATCCCCTTCAATTTTTTTATCCTCATAGGTTTATATTATTTTTTTATTAATCTGAGCAAGTACAAGACAATATCTGTTCATAGATAACTATTAACTATTTGACATTGATCGCTCACCCCCTGACGTTTCTGGTGCTCAAATCCGAGACTTCAAGGAATAACAACAATTCTTTTAATATCAAGGTCGTTTAGTTCATGGAGGTTTATATCATTTTAAATCACTGTAATTTAATATTTTTATTTTTTGAAAAATGAAAAATTAATTAATTCGTATTGTTAGTAAAATTTTTATTAAGTTAGGGTGATTATAAAGTAGTATATGTACTAAATACTCTCAATTATTTGACAATAAATGCTCAATCACCCATGCTGCAATCATTGGCGTTCGAACTCGAGACATCTAGGAATAACAATAATTCATTTAACCACTTAGTTCTTAGTCTATTGCTAGTAAATATATGAACTCGAATGGTTGATTATTGGTAAATCGGTGTACATAACTGTTAAACTAATGAATTTTGTAATTTCTTACATGTAAATAAAAAAATGGGTTGTTATTTAAAAATTATTTTAAAATTTGTGACTTCCACCTATTCGAATCACAAATGACGTAGTGAGTCGAGTCCATTAAATAATTTCAAGTAGAAAAGGGGGAAAGATGTACGTTGTGATGTTTTCTTGATAAGAAATGATGAGAGAGATGGAAAGCATTAGCATCGGTGAATGTTGATCGCTTTCTTTTCTACTGCCTTCAAATTAATTGAACTCAAATGATGGAGGACATTGATTTGTGGATAATTGTTAAATCGGTTGTAGTTATCGGATGGACCCCTTGGCTTAGCCTCCATGCATGCATGCATGACGACAATTTTCACTTTTCTTAACACAATCGCTTATCTTGGATAGGGATCGACATATAAATTAGATATTGAGGATTCAAATCTTAAATATGTTTATAGTTTTGTACTAAAATGAACTTATAAATTTTTAATAAATAATAATAGATTAAAAAGATATTTAAATTATATAATAATTTAAAAATTTTTAATGGGTGATCACCCCATCAATCCTTTAGTTTATCTTTGGATGTATATATACATGAATTAACATGTTTCTAGGATAACAATAATATTTATTTAGAATTTTTTTTGATTATTAACAAATAATAATATATATTTTATAGATATACTTAATATTTATTAAAAAATAATACAATCTTTATAACCGAAATGATCAATAGTCATATGTATTGACTATACACCACTGATATAGTAATAAAAAGGTAGCTTGGTGTGTCCCATTTTCTATATTATAGGTGGCTTTTTCAGTCAACCTCCAATCCATGGCAGTTGAAGTACTTGTAAAGGACTAGGTCCTAGTCCTAAGTATTCTACGTGGAGCAAAATGGCTGACGATTTTATGTTTATTTCCCCCTTAAAGAAATATTTGTTGACCTTAGCAAAGACTTGAGAAAGAAAGATGGCCCTGCCCATGTCTCCTTGGTTCTAAAAGTCAACTATTTTTATGTTATGTTGAACAAATTTTCTGACTTGGAAACTCTTTCAAAGGAAAAGCAGGTAAGATTATGGTTGGAATGCTAGTCATTGATTAGTTTTTGTTGCCTAGTTTCTCCAATGCAAGACTTGAACCATCTAATTTTTAAGTACTTTAGTTTTAAACATGTTGATTTTGATCATTTTCTTAATAAAAAATTTAGTTGATGTCATGTCATTTAGTTTCTTTATTATGTTACATTATATATTAATTTAACAAATTAATACTTTTTAATGAGACATCAGTACATGTCTTTGTTTTATTGATCAATAAAAATATGTCCAATATTGAGGATTCAAATTAGGACAAGGCTTAACAATTAAATCAAGTTAGATAATCGTTATATAATTGTTAAAAATAATATTTAGATTACAATGTGATTTAAATTAACTATATATATTTTACTGAAAACATATTAAGGGTGCCATTTGGTAAAACTTTCTAAGATCACTTTCAGTTAAAATATCCGTTTTGACTGCAAAATCAACGTCAAACGAGTAAAAAATGGGGGAAAAATATGGTGAAAATAGTAGTTTCAAACCAACCGTAAAAACTATGATTTCTAGCTTTTTCATTTTCAACTTTACGTTTTGGAAGCAAATATAATTTTACCTTTACTAATGTATGTGTTTCACTCAATTATGTATTTATATTTTATTTTAATAATTTAATACTAACATCCTTAAAAATTTATTACTTTTAATAATTTATTTTAATTATTTAAAAGTAAATAAAATTTATGATTTATATATTAAAATATTAGTAGTGAGTTATATAAAATATGTTTTTATTATAATTATATTTTGGGGTAAAATGCAGAGTTGGTCACTTTTGTTTCATTCTTTTAAACCTATAGTCACTCGATCCATAAACGTCAATACTTGGTCACTTTTGTTTCGTTTTAATTAAGATGTGGTCACTGAGACGTTAGCTGTCGTGAGTTGGATGATGTGGCACGTTAGTAAAAAGTTTAAATTTTTATTTGAGCCCTTAAACTTGAGATAAATTACTCATTATGGGTCTTTTTGTAAATCTAAAATAATTCAGGGATAAAAAATCAATTAACCCTCTTTCCCTCATATATTTTATTCCCAAATCAGAAATGGAAAATCCCTAAAATCAAATAGTAGTTTCAAATCAACCGCAAAACCTATGATTTCTAGCTTTTTCATTTTCAACTTTACGTTTTGGAAGCAAATATAATTTTACCTTTACTAATGCATGTGTTTCACTCAATTATGTATTTATATTTTATTTTAATAATTTAATACTAACATCCTTAAAAATTTATTACTTTTAATAATTTATTTTAATTATTTAAAAGTAAATAAATTTATGATTTATATTAAAATATTAGTAGTGAGTTATATAAAATATGTTTTTATTATAATTATATTTTGGGGTAAAATGCAGAGTTGGTCACTTTTGTTTCATTCTTTTAAACCTATAGTCACTCGATCCATAAACGTCAATACTTGGTCACTTTTGTTTCGTTTTAATTAAGATGTGGTCACTGAGACGTTAGCTGTCGTGAGTTGGATGATGTGGCACGTTAGTAAAAAGTTTGAATTTTTATTTGAGCCCTTAAACTTGAGATAAATTACTCATTATGGGTCTTTTTGTAAATCTAAAATAATTCAGGGATAAAAAAATCAATTAACCCTCTTTCCCTCATATATTTTATTCCCAAATCAGAAATGGAAAATCCCTAAGATCAAATAGTAGTTTCAAACCAACCGCAAAAACTATGATTTCTAGCTTTTTCATTTTCAACTTTACGTTTTGGAAGCAAATATAATTTTACCTTTACTAATCCATGTGTTTCACTCAATTATGTATTTATATTTTATTTTAATAATTTAATACTAACATCCTTAAAAAATTATTACTTTTAATAATTTATTTTAATTATTTAAAAGTAAATAAAATTTATGATTTATATATTAAAATATTAGTAGTGAGTTATATAAAATATGTTTTTATTACAATTATATTTTGGGGTAAAATGTAGAGTTGGTCACTTTTGTTTCATTCTTTTAAACCTATAGTCACTTGATCCATAAACGTCAATACTTGGTCACTTTTGTTTCGTTTTAATTAAGATGTGGTCATTGAGACGTTAGCTATCATGAGTTGGATGATGTGGCACGTTAGTAAAAAGTTTGAATTTTTATTTGAGCCCTTAAACTTGAGATAAATTACTCATTATGGGTCTTTTTGTAAATCTAAAATAATTCAGGGATAAAAAAATCAATTAACCCTCTTTCCCTCATATGTTTTATTCCCAAATCATAAATGGAAAAATCCCTAAAATCAAACCCCCAAATTTCATTTTAATCTCGTTACCATTTCATCGATCCCCTGCCATCGTTCGGTCGCTAGTGACCATCACCGTCGATGCCATCGTGAGCGCCTCATCACAGTGATTAAAACCCCGCTGCGAGTGTCCCATGAGCCACTACCGTTCGACGTG